AGACTTCCCAAAGTACAGGCACATGACTGCTTCTGCTGGTTGCCTGTGGGACACCATCTCTGTAGCATGTAGAAATTGGAGGGTTTCAAAGATGGGCAGAAATTGACTCCATTCCTTTCCCTGCACTTAGAAATGCTTAAATGTTTATATTTTTCCTTGTGATGGGAAGTGGTGGATTTATCCAGCAATTACTTTGTGACATTTCAGTGTGGCTGGTCTGCTAATGTTCCTTCTGTTTCCTTTAGTGCTTAAAGACTCTGTGGGTCCAATTGGAAGACATGTTTTTTTGAAGTGTGACTGTTTCCTTTGTAGGGGTTTAAGGGAAACAGTCTCATGAAAAGTGGTGTTTCAAAAAGGAAGGAGACATTTCCCCTTTAGTGCAGGAGCTTAAGGGAAACCATCCCATGGAAAGTGGTGTTTCAAAAGTGAACGGATGCCTCTCTTCTTTAGTGTAGGGGATTAAGGGGGATGATACCATGGAAAGTGGTGTTTCAAAAAGGATACCTGTCTTAAAATGTTTGTTGGTATCCTTGGAATGGTTGAGCTAGAAATGGTAGAAGGTGATCCTGTGTGATGGGGTTGAGTAAATTCTCCATCTTCTTTAAAGATGGAACCCCAAGAAACCCCACGCAAAGAAGACAATTCCATCCACCACCATGAAATACTAAGTATATTTTAGTTTTTGCCAATATGTAAACAAGGAAATGAAAACTTGTAAATATAACTATCACCATTGAAGTAAACAAACAGATTATCCTTATCGCCATAGAATGCCCAATGGCTGTGTCAAAGCTAACACAAGTTTTAACATAGTTGTGAGACAACAAAGTCAAAAGCAAAAAGGTAGCTATAGGAACTGAAACTATAGCAACACATTTGCAGTGTCCCTGGCAACTCCACTTCTGGTCAGCAATGACATATTCTGGGGCCAATTTAATGCAAATGCTTTTTTTTCAAGAATACTATTCAGAGACGTTCTTGTATAGTCCCTATTGATATTTTAATAGCAGTCTGTCCTATTTCTTCTAACGTATTTCAAGAGAGAAATGAAGATCCTTTGAAGAGAAAATGGTATAAATCTAATAACATTAATAAAATAGACCAATTGAATCATATATATATAAATCTAGATTTTTCAAGGTCTCGTGGTTTTGATGGGTGTACTTTAGACAGGGTTCAGTTTAGTGTCTTTTAGTGTGCTTTAAAAAAGTTTTCATTTGTATTGAATGTACTAGATGGCAGTGCCAATACAGTTAAACCTCGACTTTTGCAGGTTTAACTTTTGTGGGTTTAATTATTTATAAGTTTGCCTTCAATAATGGGAATTTTTCTTCTAGATTAGATTGTTGCAGCCATTAGAACAACCAAGTAAAATCACCTTTAGAGGCACTGTACTCTATTGTTGTAAAGTCAAAAGCAGCAGCAGCAACTTGCTATCTCAGGTTGGGGAATCCTGACAACTGTTGGCTTCTGCCTTTGGAAGGGGTGAAGGTAAGATAAATACGTTTTCTTTGCCCATTTCAAAGGCCAGAGGAGGGATACTCCCTACCAGTCATGAGATTCTGTTTTTGGAAGGAGCAAAGAGAAATATTTTCCCCTTCTCTTAACTCGTTTCAGAAACAAAAAGGGTGGGAGCCATTTCGTTCTAAGCTAGGGAAGTTCACCAGCTTTCGGCTTCAGCTATTGGTAAGAACAAAAAGAAACATCTCTTCACTTATTCTGAAGGCAAAAGGAGCAGAAGCCTCTTGCTGCCCAGAGGTTGGCAGGCCCATGAACCACTGGCTTCTGACCCATTCATTAGAACAGGCATAGGCAAGCTTCAGCCATCCAGATGTTTTGGACTTCAATTCCCACAATTCCTAATTGCTGGTAGGCTGTTAGGAATTGTGGGAGTTGGAGTTCAAAAACACTTGGAGGGCCGAAGTTTGCCCATGCCTGCAATACAAAGAGAAATGTATCTCCCTATGCATTTCAAAAATAAAAGGACCATTTGCAAAGCTGTCCAGAAGTGAGTCCACCAACCATCCATTTGAAAAGAGTGACCACAAAAGCACTGCAGCAGTGTCTCAAACTCTCTTGAGCTCATTCATCCCAAAGCGAAAGCAGGAAGCTGGTGTTAAATATCAAGAGTTAAGGTTTGGGCGAGATCCTAGAGATATTCAGGTTTTTTCCCACTTCTATAGGAGTCCTGCACTCCTGACCCCCGTAAATATGGAGGGCTGACTGTAATTCTGTCACAAGTGTTTTCGTCTTAGTGGCAATGCAAGTTGCCCATTCAGTACTGAAATACCACTGTGTAAAAGCGAGTCACTGTTTCATTTATAAGTCTATAGGTTCTTGGTTTAACAGAATTCTAATAAGATAAACAGTTGTCAGGTTGTTTGACAGGTGATGGCAGCATGAAAATCACAATGTGAATTAGGTGACAAGCTGTCTTGATGTATCAGATTTTTACTGGTGTCTTTTGTTGCATAAAGATCTTGCCTTAAGTGATATTTAAAGACAACTCATTCTGTTTGACAGTGTAGTGACATGATCCCGAGCAGGAAGAAATAATGTCATAGTGTCAAGTCTAAGATGAGAAAATTGGTATAGATACTTACCTGTTTTATGACACAGAGCAAGTCTAGAAGTGTAGACAAGCAAATTCCATGTTTTGTTTTAAGATTTCCAGATAGATGTCGCACTCATTTATTCATCCCCCCTCCCAAAGCATACTCTTACTGGAATTTGGGTTTTTTTCTGGAACAAATTGTTTGCTCAACCTCTGCTAGAACTTGCACTTTTGTAAATAGCAGTTCAGACACTCCCATCAAACTCTCTGGTTATCAAACTCATATTTAAACAATGTCGTTATTTTATGGGCTCTGATTACGATGCATAGGAATCATAACTATTGAATGAAGCATAAAATATAATTTTAATGAAATTTACATTTAAAAACTTAACAGAATCTTTATATCTGTACTTCCTTAATTTTTTTTATGGAAACATAGTATCCTTATTTTAAGGTTACTTATAGGTTTTGCTAGCATGCTATATCTTGATAGTTGAATCCCGTCTTATTTCATGAACTTTTTAAGAGCTTCTCATGCATTATATTTCCAATATATAACTATTTTCAGGCATAAATGCAAGAAGTATGTCTTTGCAAATATATGTATCATTTGCATGTCGGGTGTTTCAGATGCTTGCTATTCCCACTGAATATACTCCTTTGGGATAACTCTTGTTTGCTGCTGGGAAATCTAAAGCAGCTCAGAGACCGACGTATAACAACCTCCTTCCATGGAACTGCTGCTGTACCAAGTCCATAATTGGAAGTAGTAGTAGCTGTGTATGTCCATTGGGCAATATATTTGTAGTGTTTCTCAAAACTAGTAGCTTCAAGCTCTGTGCCAGAGCAATTCTGAAAATTGGGACAATTTCAAATACAGCTTTTGACTCAGTGTCAGAGTTTGTTTTCAAAAGAAATAAAGGTCAGAAATCACACTAAATGCCCTTAGGCATCTCTAAAGAATCTCTATGGATTGTACCTCAGCTCCACGAGGATTAGCCCTGGAAGCACATTCATAAAAGGATAAAATAGTTATATTTCTTAAGTCAAGATTTCTCCTGTTGTGGAAGCCTTAGCTTACTAACAATTGATTAATGTACAGCTCAGGACAATTATAGGGGTCTTTAACACTGGGGTGGCTTTCACAGGGTAATGACTACTGTATTGCCTTTAGCAATATATCTCATGGTGAGGACAGCTCTAGGTAGAAGGAAAAATGCCCAAAGAGAGGCATTTTCCACATTCCCTTTTCTGATGCTTTGCTATTTTGAGACCGAAAGGTTACATGAGCATACCCTTTCATTGCTCAAGACATAAGGCCCTGGTGAGAGAAATCTCTTTTTTATTCCAGAAGGTAGGCTTGCTGAAATAGGGATGCTTGAGAAATTTGATATTCATGAATTTTGGTGTAAGCTGCCTAGATTCTCACCACCCACACAAATACGTTAATCACAGAAGTGAATTTCACACTTGGCTCAAAAACAAGTAACAAAGATGTATTAATACCCATATTTTGCTGCCAAATATATATGTAAAAATATGTGTGCTGAGGTAAAATTTATTAAAACTTCTTATGGCTGTGGTCCCTCAAGTAGTTTGCAACTTATGATGACTCTTACACAAACCTATCAGTAGGTTTTTTGGGGCAATATTTGTTCAGAAGCATTTGCCATTACCCTACGCTGAGATCTATAACTTACTCAAGGTAAGCCAGGATTTTAACTTCTGCTCTTCTGGAGTCCTAGGACTTCATCAGATGGTTTTCCTCCTCAATTTTTACGTGCTTCAAAAAATGAATCCTACAGAACCCATCAAACCACATAGGACAGCTTCCGGTAGTTGTCCATGGCTGTTCATTTTCTCAGCATGTAGAAATGGGAGAATTAGAAAGACGGTCAGGAATCGACTCCACTCCTCTCATTGTGCAGAGGAAGAAACACCTACAAATTAGTATTTTTCTTTGGGATGAGAAGTCATGGATTTCTCTGTTTATAATCCTTTTTATGAAGTGCCCCTCCATGTTCCTTCTGTCGCCATTACTGGTTTAAAGACAGTGCCGGTCTACTTCAGAGGAAAGCTTCAAAGGGGGAAAAGATTCATTGAAAGGGGTGTTTAAAAGTGGGCTGGTCTACTTGACATGGGAGGAGACATTACCGGCCCATGTGATGGGAAACTACGCTAAGTGAATCATTGAGCTAGAAAGGAGATGAGGTGATCCTGTGTGATGAGGGTCAGTAAATTCTCCCTCTTCTTTAACGATGGAACAGCAAAGAAGGTGATTCCACCCTAGGAGAGAAGAGGACACGATGGTAACCTGTGTTACAGAACATTGTATTTTCTGTAAGGAAAAAATGAATGGACAAATACTGGTAGATCGAGAGAAATGTGCTAGTTTATTTAAAAAAAAGCTGGCTTTTTAAAGAGCACTTTTTTTTACCAACAGGAAGGTTTTGAAAAAGATTTCTGTGGGAGACCTTAAGCCCAACGAAACCGTTGAAGCAAACTTAGAAGCACAGTTGTTGTCTAGACTAGACCATCCAGCCATTGTCAAGTTTTATACCAGCTTTGTAGAAGGAGAAAGTTTTTGCATCATCACAGAATACTGTGAGGTAAGTCCTATGTGTTATTTCACAAGAACAGATGGATGGATATTCCTTTAAAAAAAAAAACCTTAAGGAAAACCTGCATATTGTATTAAAAACTCTATTTAGTTATCATACTGTCAAGTGTTGAGCTTTGAAAATACAATTCCAAAATCTGTGCTATGAAGCTTGGGTTTTCCATAATTTTGTTTAATTTTATTTCAGAAAATAAGAGAATAATCCCAACTTTACTGGGACTTAAATGCTAATGGAGAAGGCTTTTCTATCAAAAGAGGATTCTTTCTCACCCCACCTTAATAGACTCATATTCCTGAACAACTGATAGATGTGTTAGGTTTTATGTAATAGTAAACTGAACTTATTATGAATACAGTTGATAGTCATTCTGATTGTGTAAGTATCAATTGTGTCAAAACTATCACGTAATTATATACCATAACAACAACAACAACAACAACTTGACAACAACAACAACAACTTTGTACCTCACCTCCATCTCCCCGAAGGGGACTCAAGACAGCTTACACGGGGACAAGCCCAATCAATATAGTTAAAATATAACACAATAAAAATCATAGAACACATCATAAACAATATAAAACAAACAGATACATAATACAAAAACAACTATTGAGCAACAGCCAAATTACCTCTTACTGACGAAGAAGTATTTTGACCAAATTAGTAGGGTCTTTTGCCCCTCCAATCTATGAGTTCGTTGTGTAATATTTGGTCAAAATGTAAATCAATTCCTTTGTTTCAGGGTGGAGACCTTGACTATAAAATTCAAGAATACAAAGAAGCTAACCACGTGTTTTCTGAAAGCCAAATAGCTGAATGGTTTATACAGTTGTTACTTGGCGTCAGTTACATGCATGACAGGTACAGTGATTTGATTAAATATTGTTGTAAACTTGAGTTTGTTTTTCATTTCTTAGCTGCCATGATAATTTCTGACCTTTGATATAAATTCTATGTAGAGACCTTGATTAGGGCTATTAATAGGTGATTACTGGCAGTACCCTCATTCAGACAAATTGCTTCCCAGAATGTGGCCTTTTAAAATCACATATTGGTATTTCTGCAAAGATGATCATGACACAACAAACAGAAACACTCTTTTTAAAGTTTAGTTTTGAGAATCCCGGGTCTTAGTCAAAGATGCATTGCCTAACAGTACAGTTAGCTGTTAATCAAGATGACTTCAGCATATGATGACCCTATGAATGAAAGACCTCCAAGTCTCAGCAGCAATTCTCAAGGCTGTGGCTGTCTTGGTTGAATTTATCCATTTGTAATGTGGTGGTCTTCTTTTCTTACTCCCTCCTAGCTTACCATTATTGTCTTTTCTAGTGAGTTATGTCTTCTGATATGGAAAAAGTATCCTCTTGGCTTATAGAGCGTTCAGGCTCTAGGAACAATTTTTGTCCTTTTAGCAATCTGTGTTACCTTCCAGAGCAAGCATGGGCAAACTTCAGCCCTCCAGGTGTTTTGGACTACTGGCTGTTAGGAATAGTGGGAGCTGGAGTCAAAAACACCTGGAGGGCTGAAGTTTGCCCATACCTGTTCTAGAGCACTGCATTTCAAGTGAGTTTATTTTCTTCCTACCCACTTTCTTTATTGCTCAGCTTTCAAAACCATACATAGAAATTGAAAATACAATTGAATGGACAATACTAACTTTAGTATTCCAGTTATATATCTTGAGACTTTATGTTTTCATTTCGTTCTTTCATAGTTGCTCTCCCAAGTCCCAGGATGTGGGGATGGGACAAGCCGTGTTGGTGCCCTGTCCCTATCAGATGAAAGAAAGGGTGAAAGTGTGTGTTGCTCCATCACCCTTTCCCCCATCATATGGGGAAAAGGGGAGGACAGTGTGGGTAGCTTTATTGGAACTACCCAAAAAACACTTTCCTCTCAATGGTGGGGGAGAAAACATCTTGCGATGCTTACTCTTCACTTTGGGAGGAATGTGGGCAGGGTCAAGCCAGCATCATCTGATGACACTCAGCTGGCCCTGTCCAGGCCCCATCGACAAAAGGAAAAACGGGGCTGGAAAACCCCCATGGGAAGAGGTCCGTGGTTGTCTTCTGATTTCTTGACCACAGTCTCCATTCCAATTAATCACTGAGGCAAAATATAGAAAATCTTTATTTCAATGACTTCATTGTCTATTCTGAAATCATGTAAAATATCTGTTTTCCTTAGTTTTGTTTTCTTAATGTTCAGCTGTAAACCTGCCTTTGCATCTTGACTTTCTTCAGCATTCATTCCAGTTCTTTGATGTTTCTGCTGCTATTATGGTGCCATCTGCATATCTTAAATTGTTGATATTCTTTCCTCCAATTTTCATGCCTTCTTCCTCTGAGTTTAATCTTGCTTTATGTATTATATATTCAGCATACACATTAAACAGATAGGGTGATAACATTCAGTTTTTCTTGACTCCTTTGCCATTTGGAAACCATTCCATTTCTACGTATTCTTTCCTGATGTTAGCCTCTTATCCTGAATGCAGGTTATGTATCAGGGCAATCTAATGCTGTGGCACATCAGTTTCTTTCAATGTAATCCATGATTTTTCATGATCTACACAATCAAAGACTTTGCTATAATCTACTGCAGAGGTTCACTTTCTTCTTAAATTCCTTAGTGCACTCCATTATCCATACTATGTTTGCAATATGCTTCTTTTCTCACTAAATCCATATTGGATGTCTGCATTTCTTGCTTCATTTAACGTAAACATTTTTATTGTAGAATTTGGAGCATCACTTTGCTGGCATGGGAGAATGACACTGTGATCCTGTGGTTACTACAGTCTCTGGTACCCCCTTTCTTGGGCACTAGAATGTATATTTCCAGTCAGTGGAGCATTGCATCTGGAACATAAACCTGGTTTATGGTTATATATATAGATACGTTTTCCCTGAAGTTTTATTGATAATATTTGGTCAGACTTTATATTTCATCCCTTGATTGCTTTTGCTTCATCTCTTCTAGCTATTAATACCACCCCATTTCTTTTTAAATTTGTATTTCCTGTGTTAAACCCTATGTAAGATTCAAAATCTTCCATTCCAGTCCAATTTAGCTTACTCACTCCAAGTACTGCAATGCTCCATTTCTTGTTTTCCTGTCTAGCTTCCCCTGATTCATGATTCTCACTTTCCACATTTTTGTAACATGAGTTGCACAGCTTGTATTTTCCTTCCACTTCTGAGCTCATCAGCAACTGAACATCCTTTCATCTTGAGTCCAGTTGCATAATTAGCCACAACACTACTTATAGTTGTCTATGCCCACACCTCAGTAGCTTGTAAAGTGCCACCCAATCAGGGAGTGTCATCTTCAGGCACTATCTTTCTTATTTTGGATTCTCTCATCATAGAGTTATCATGGGGAAAAACTTTTCTCTCTGTGTTAACATTGTTAGTACCACTGCCATCGTCTCTGAGAGATCCTTTATCACTCCCCACCAGTGTTGATATCCAGAGGTTGTTTGGAACATTTCGTCTGGCTCCTTAGCAAAAGTCTATCTGACATGAGAGACCCTACCAATAGCACCACTTCCATCAACATAGCCTATTGCCACTACAGCAAAATAGTGCCATGTTGGGCACAGTACTGCCTAACAAATGTACATTGATAAAATATGAAACTTTTTTTAAAAGCAGTTCTTTGGACATCAAATATCTAGGAATTGTGCTTTTGCCATGTTCTCATTCAGAATTGCAAAATGATCAGGGATCCAGCGTAGGTTGCAGAAGTATATATTGCCTTCCCTTTTTATTGGGAATCCCCCTCATCCTAGTTCAATCTGATTTTGATGTAACGAGGCAGCTGAGAGTCATGCACAATTTGTGGTTTGCTTCTTCCCTTCATACAGGGAGAAATGACAAAGACACTCACTCAGTGAATTTCTAGCTCTGCAAACTCTGGGCAGCTTAATATATTTTCATAGCTACAGATCTTCCCACAGCAATCAACTTTATTCTACTTCACTTGGCAGCTTGCCTCAGAGGACTATTTATTTATTTAGTGTGTGCATACTGTGCTGGAGAAAGGACTTTGATAATTTTCTGATGGAATAGATTTTGTGTCCTTTGAGTCTTGATACCAGTTAGTACTTAGATAATAATGTGTATATTCTTAAATATCAGGATATACACATACATAGATTTGGAGGGGAGGCAGTTTTAGAATGCAGCATTGGGGGTGCTTGAAAGAAGATGGAAAAAGAAGGAGTAGATAGGAAAATTAACATTAAAAAAGTAAAATAATGTCTTCTGACACTTGAAATATCAAGTATAGATACCTTCACTAATGTTAAATTACTGAATGTCAACTGGGATACCGACATAAGCCCTAAGATCATCTGGGGAGTCCCCTCTCTCGATTCCACCTCCGTCTCAAGTGCGGTTGGTGGGGACGAAGGAGAGGACCTTCTCAGTGGTGGACCCCTGGCTCTGGAACTCTCTTCCTAGGGAGATCAGACTGGCACCCATCTTGTCCACCTTCCACAAGAACCTAAAAACATGGCTGTTCCACTGTGTCTTTGACCAGGCAATTCCAAAGAATTGGCCCAATAATACCTAAGTTCCGGCACTTTAGCATGCCCCTCTGCTCTACAATGCCCAAGGACATTAATCTCCCATCCCTGCCTACTGAATTTTGCACTTTCCCTTATCTCTATCTAGGAATTTTACACAAACTCAAATCTCTCTGAACTCAGCACTTTTATTGCTCTGCATGGTACTGTTTTTATGATGTTTTATTGTGATATGTTTCTATTTGGTTTTGTTTTGATTTTACTTTATTGCATTATGTTTTTAACTCTGTGCTCTCTGGGCTTGTCCCATTGTAAGCCACCCCTTTGGGGAGATGGAGGTGGGGTATAAAAATAAAGTTATTATTATTATTATTATTATTATTATTATTATTATTATTATTAATTTAATATCAGTGGTATCCACATCCAAATCACATCCATTGAATGTTTTGGATTAAGGAGAACATGTTTTGGGGAAAGAAAGACATTTCATTATAGGAAAGAAAATAGATTTGCCAGAATAACCTATTATTATTATTGTTTTTATATCACTGATGACAGGTTTTACTTTTCTTTATTTTCAGGCGAATTCTTCATAGAGACTTGAAAGCTAAGAATATTTTTTTGAAAAATAATTTTGTTAAAATAGGTAAGAATCTTTTCATAACATGATCTTATTTTTCTGGTAAAATTGCTGCATTGGGGGTGCTGTGAAGTATTGTGGAAAATATAGTCAGTGGCAGCTTCAAGGTTTCCTACTGAGATGGTTGGGCAGCTGTTCTAGGGTCTGAGGATGCTGGGTGCTGATGCTAGTTCTTAGTATATATGAGGAGCACTGATTTTTGTACATCCTCCCATGATATAATTCTTTGCAGTCCTTTCCCAGATAACTTTCCCTCAGCCTAGCACACTTCTGATCAGCTTAGCTGAGAAGAAAGTGTTACAGATCAGAGTGAGAGTTGTATTATCCTTACCCGTTTATTTTGCTTTATTCTGAGAATGGTTTCCATGCATTTTCTCTAGTGAAACTCTTATATTCACATGAGTCTCAAACCTCTTTTCATGCTGCACATAATGCAGAATTACCTATGAATATGCCCTTAGCAACTGTAGGATATTGGATGCCGATACATAAGGAAAGATGGATCGGGAAAGCATTTCTTCATTCATCCTGTACAAGGGAGCTAAAAATATACAGACATGCACACAAATATGTTCATTTGGCCCAGAGACAACTCCCCCATATATGTATATCTGTTTCATATGTGTGGTAGCGCCCAGCTGTGACTTCAACGCATTGATAGTTTTATTTCTACAGTGGAAAATATACAGTTCTATTTGCTTGTATGGCACACAAAACTACTTCTGTACAATCCTTGTTGGAGTATTTTCTTTAGGATACTTGTCTGTATATTCATGTACATTTTAATGTCCTATCAGTTTGAAAATCTTAAAAAACAATATATTTTACATATTTCAGGAACTCTTTTTTATCTGTGCTGTCATGCTAGTGGCTATCATTGGAACTTTTACTATCTCTTTTTTAGTTAATGATTTTATGTTACTATGGATATTTTTGAAGATAACGTGAGCTGCCTTGGGTCCGCTCTGAAGAAAGGCAGCATAGAAATCTCTGAAATAAAAATAAATAAATATTATGCTAACTTGGAGAACTGCAGCTACTTAGAATGCAAAACTAAGCTAGGTGGACAAATACAATATACTCTCAGTTAAGAGCTACCCATGGGGATTAGTAAATTGCTGGATAATTGTCGTTTCTGATTGCTTGAGAGTTACTATTAAAAAGTAGGCCTAACTAATATATCCCATATTATACCATACCATGAATTCTGCATTGAAGTGAAATTAATATTGAAATTAATACCATAATTAAAAGCAAACTAAGACATGTACATAATTTGAACGTACATTTCCGCTAAACATTGATTTTAATTTATTTGTTATTTAAAGTATTATTTCTTCATTTTTTGCTGATTGCTTGGGAATTCTACTGGTTCAGCTAACTACTGGATCCCTACTGTAGTTTGGTATTTCCTCCTTTTTGCAGATTCACCAATTTATTGGCTGTTGCTAGGAGGGAAAAATCCTAATTAGAGCTTTCTGATGCTGAGCAGAATTCTGGTAAATGTAGTTTAGGGCAGGGCCTTTTGAATTCTCTGGCATAGGGCTCCTCTCTTTCCCAAACTACATTTCTCAGAATTCTGTGCTCGCCCTCAATCTCTTTCACTCACCTTGTCCTGTCCTGCTGGTTTCCTCTCCTCATGGCACCCTTTATGTCTTTCCTCGTTTCCGCTGAAAATGAAACAGACTTTCATAGGCTTCCAAGATTTACAGAATTCAAATGAAAAAGTATTGGATCCTATCTGATTTTATATTGTGTGAATTAGTTTTACTATTTTATTTTGTTATTGTACTTTTATTGTATTTTAATTTTTTGATGTATTTGTTTTTGGAATTTACTGTGTTGGATTGTATTTGTAGAAGGGCTTGGCCTCATGTTAGCCTCCCCGAGTCCCCATTAGGGAGATGGTGATGGGGTATAAATAACGATTATTATTATTATTATTATTATTATTATTATTATTATTATTATTATTTTGATTCTTAAGTTTTTGTGTGGGAGCCCCCCATGTTTCTTAATATATACAAAACTTATAAATTAGATACGACTTACTAATTATAAATGAAATTTTGCACACCCCTAATATCCACCATTACATTAAAGATGAAGCTTTGTGATAGCTCTGAAATTACCCCCTCAAAAGCTATGTTTAGATTGCAGTATTTGAAATGGATTCTTTTTTTTCCCTTTAAAATTTAATTTCTTGGTTACTGTAAGCAGAAGCTTCCCCCCCCCCCCAGGAGACTGCTTGATGTAGGGCCCTTTCATACAGCCCTATGTCCCAGAATATCAAGGAGAAAATCCCACATTATCTGAGTGTGGACTTAGATAACCCAGTTCAAAGCAGCTATTGTGGGATTTTCTGCCTTGATATTCTGGGATATAGGGCTGTGTGGAAGTACCTTTTGTTGCCAAAACAAAAAGAAAAACTGCTATTTATGGGTGTGTGTGTGTGTGTGTATCCATCAAGTTTACAAAGTCTTCTCCGAAAGGTGTGATTATACTGTTCAGGTCTTCAAATACACTGATTGCTTTCATGAATAGTTTTACTGATTGCTTTAATGAATGGAATTAATAACTAATAAGCTTCATTTTTGACTCTCTGTTTCAATGCACTTGGTGATCCAGTATTTTGTTGTGAGCCTGGATTTCTGCTGTAGAACTATAGTACTCATTTCAGAAGGAGAAATAACTTGTCTGTTCTACTTAGTTTTTGAACTCAGTGCTAAGAATAGCTGCTTGAACTGACATTTAAAAATAACTTTCTCCTGGATAGTTCAATACCTGCAGTGCCTGTTCTTCCTCCTCAGCCCTACAAGGAACATTGTGTGTCCTTGTGTGTTTTTGTGTCATGCAAATTTACAGTTTGCCTGAGATGTTTTCTTTGTCCTCTACTTTGTTGGATAAAAGCCATCTACATGGACACTATGATGGCATGAAGCTAACAGCCACAAAAAGCATACTGCCAATGCTCATATGCATTAAAAGAGATGCATTGAATTAAAAGAGGTCACACGTAACCATAAAATGTGCCACAGTAGATACAGGTGTATCCCAAATCTGGGGCAAAATTGGCTCCACAAAATGTGGCATGCATTGTAAACACACACACATGATGAAGCGCAATGAAGAATCTATTAACGAAGTTGCCAAGAAATGCCCCAAGACAGTGGTTCTCAACCTTCCTAATACTGTGACCCCTTAATACAGTTCCTCATGTTGTGGTGACCCCCAACCGTAACATTATTTTCATTGCTACTTTTATAACTATAATTTTGCAACTGTTATGAATCACAATGTAAATATCTGATATGTGGGGTGTATTTTCATTCACTGGACCAAATTTGGCACAACTACCCAATACACCCAAATTTGAATATGGGTGGGGTTGGAGGGGATTTATTTTGTCACTTGAGAGTTGTAGTTACTGGGATTTATAATTCACCTACAATTAAAAAGCATTCTGAACTCCACCAATGATGGAATTGAACCAAACTTGGCACACAGAACTCCCATGACCAACAGAAAATACTGGAAGGGTTTGGTGGGCATTGACCTTGAGTTTTGGAGTTGTAGTTCACCTACATCCAAAGAGCACTGTGGACTCAAACCATGATGAACCAAATTTGGCATGAATACTCAATATGCCCAGATGTGAACATTGGTGGACTTCGGGGAAAATAAACCTTGACATTTGGGGGTTGTAGTTCCTGGGTTTTATAGTTCACCTACAATCTAAGAGAATTCTGAACCCCACCAACAATAGAATTGGGACAAGCTTCCTACATAGAGACCCCATGACCAATAGAAAATATTGTGTTTTCTTATGGTCTTTGGCGACCCCTCTGACACCCCCTTGCGACCCGACCCCCAGGTTGAGAAACACTGCCCTAAGAGCATGGCTCGGTAGCAGGGATCTAGTTGACCTCCACTTTCAATTGTCCTTTGCTTCCCCCCATTCATCTCTGCATTTCTGCAGGAAATGGAGGTGGGGGTGGAGGAACCTGCACAGTGGTTTGAGACAAAGTTCCGTATTCAATGTAATCACTGCCCTGGCTTCAAACTTTCTCCAGACCTGTCAATCTAATTATCTTTCTTTACTAGCTTCTCAATCACAATTCTTTAGTTGCTTCCTAAAATTTCTGTTGCGTTTTTGTAGCTATCTTGGAAACACAGCAAGGTGATGTATTTTTCTGCAATCCTGATCTTTCTTGTCCTTAGGTCTTACTTTATTATTGAATCTCACAGTGTCTGAGCCATCTACTTCCCTGAACTGTAACACTATAAAATGAATGTATGTGTTACTGGATGAGGTTAATCAGGAAGTGTAAAGGATTAACTCATGTCACTAGAAAATGTACCAACCTGATAATGCAGAAAATTAATGAACTAGTTATCTCCAAGCTGTTACTAGATTTTATTTTACATGACTAAATGTGATATATTACAATTATTCTGTCAAACTAATGACTTAGGTCTTATGTTTTTTTTGTTTTGTCTTCAAGTTGAATTTGCATCATTTCTCCTTATACCTTTTCCTCGACATAATTAACTTTCCAAATATTTTTTTTCAAGGGGATTTTGGAGTTTCTCGACTCTTGATGGGCTCCTGCGATTTAGCAACTACATTTACTGGGACACCTTTCTACATGAGTCCAGAGGCTTTGCAACATCAAGGTTATGACACAAAATCAGACATTTGGTAAGCAGGAATGATTAAGGAATGACTTCCAATGAATGATTAAGTAAGTCATAATAATATATATATATATTTAAAAAGTATGTTTCCTTCTATTGGGGTTTCTTATGCAATTTATCTCTCTTTTTTCTGGAAATAAGCTGCTATGCTGATGTAAGGTTCTTCTTTATTAATTGTGTCAGAAGCAAATTGAAAATAGTTATAATGTATAAAAAATTCCAAAGTTAAAAACTTGGAATTATGTTAGAATTTCTTTGACCAGAAGCTGGCCACTTGGAGTGCCTCTGGTGTCACTGTAAGAAGGTCCTACATTGTGCATGTGGCAAGGATCAGACTTCATTATAAGTGGTCTGTGGTTTGCTCTTCTCCACCCTCGCTTGTCATAGTACTAGAGCACAGTCTGTTCTGTGCCTTCCAAGTCACCCAATCTTCTGAGTGCCTAGGAGGAAGTTCTCATCCAGTTCTCATCCAGTCTCAACCACTGATTGAGGTTCGGTGTTTTTACCTGCCAATTTTGGACTCATGCTTGTTGATGTGTTCCTGCGAGTATCTCTGTAGATCTTAGGAAGCTGTTTCTTGATTTAAGTCATTGGCATGCTGGCTGATATCCAAACAGATGATGGGCCGGAGAGGTCAATGCCTTGGTCCTTTCATTGCTGGCTGCTACTTCCCGGATGGTGCAATACTGGCTAAACAGTATATTTTCTCCAGTGGTGTTGGGTGTAGACATCCTTTGATAATGCGGCATGTCTCATTAAGAGCCACATCCACTGTTTTGATGTGGTGAGATGTATTCCATACTGGGCATGCATACTCAGCAGTAGAGTAGCAAAGTGCAAAAGCAGATGTCTTCACTGCATCAGTTTGTGATTTCCAGGTTTTGCCAGTCAGCTTTCATATGATATTATTTCTTGCACCCACTTTTGCTTGATATTCAAGGCAGTGCTTTTTGTAAGTCAGAATGACTCCCAGGTATTTTGGTGAGCTGCAGTGCTTTAGTGGGATTCCTTCCCAAGTAATCCTCAGACCTCATGATGCTTGTCTGTTCTTGAGGTGAAAAGCATAGGTCTGCATTTTAGATGAATTTGGAATCAGCTGGTTTCCCCTGTAATAGGCAGTAAGAGCACTTAAGGCTTCGGAGAGCTTCTATTCGACCATTTCTAACCTCCATGTTTGAGCGGTGATGGCACAATCGTCAGCATAGATTAAATTCTCTGTCCCTTCTGGCAGTGCCTGATCATTTGTGCAAATATTAAACACTGATGAAGCAAGCATGCTCTCCTGAGGTAGGCCATTCTTCTGTTTTTGCCATTTGCTTCTCTTACCCTAAAACTCAACAAAAAGCTCCTGTTTTGTAGCAATTTCCTATGAAGTGGGTGAGGTGGTAATCCTTTGTGATATTATACATTTTTACTCAGGAGGTGATGAATTACTGTAGCATAAGCTGTTGATAGGTTCTTATTACAAGATTAAATATACTCAGTCACTATCATTACTCTTAAACATTTCTTTCAGCCTAATAAGTGACCAGATAGCATGGTTTTGGGGCAATTGATCATGATCTGGGACTTGAGAATAAACAATGTGTGTCCAGAAAAGGATTTCTTAAGTGTCCAAAAACCTAGATGAGGTGAATCCTATTACAACTCCCCCAACCTCCTGACACAGGGAAGGAGGAGCTGAGCCAGGATCATTGAAGACTATAGTCTATAGTTCTTGCTTGGCTCTCTCCTGAGCCCTCCCAGTTTTGTTTCTTATCACAAGAATAAAAGTGAACAACACTGAAAGCAGTCACAGAATAAATAACTGAATATGTTTCCTTGTTTTTTAATTACCTTCCTTTTTTCCACCGTGTCTTCCAGGTCACTGGGGTGTATTTTGTATGAGATGTGCTGCTTGGATCATGCATTTACTGGCCATAATTTTTTATCTATTGTTCTAAAAATTGTGGAGGGCGAGACCCCTTCCCTTCCTGATATTTATCCAAGAGAACTTGATGGAGTGCTACGCTGGTAGGTTATTTTGACAGTTGGGCACTGATTTAGCCCTCAGTGGTTTTTGGTAGTATGAGAATTGATTTGTTTCATATCATTAATATTTCAGTATGCTGAGCAAGGATCCTTCACTGAGGCCATCAGCTACAGAGATTTTGAGGATCCCATACATTGCTGATCAATTACAGGTATTTTGAATACAGAAATAGGTTTTATGAAACCGTATGCATTAAAGCAGGGACAGCAAAAAAAGGCAAGAATCTTTTTTTAAAAAAGAATGACTCCTATAAAAGATAAAATGTATACACCTAAACTGCCTTATACAGCACTTTCTGTTATGAGACTTTGTGCACAGAATTGTTGTATAGGGTATTTAACCACGTTGTCTGGTCTAATTTTGTTTTCTAAATATGCTGTTGGAATGGGTGTGCTATATTAATTTTGCAACTGATACACTTCAAATGGGCCCTTTTCCACATTTCTCATCAATGTACAACTTGTCATAAGTAGAGTAAATTTTCTGGGACACAAAACCTTATCTTTAAAAGGTGACCTGCATATTCCATTACATTGGCAGGCTGTAAAAACACTATAATAAATAAATAAATGTCTAGACTAGAGTAAACTTTGAAAAACGAATCTCTACCCTAAAGATCTTAGATACATGCAGAGACCCCGTGATAGATATTGTTTTTCTAGCACCTTCCCTTTGGGTTTCCTAACTTGATTGTAATCTCTAGTATTTATCTCTAACCCTCTGTATAAACAAACAAATTAAGTTTGTGTGTACACACACATATTTGTTAGTGCCAGTTTCTCCCTCTTTCCCCATTCTCATTTGACCTTATCCTGTTTGTCCTTTGCAGTATTGCTGCTTTTGAGACTCATTCTTCCCTCTTCTTGACATGGAAGTTGCTCTCCTAGCTATTTATTACTTGTAATTGTTTAGTAAAGAAAGAAGGAGAAAGACAAGGAAATTGTTCCCTTCCAACTAGGAATCTTATTTCCCAGCACTGGTCTTCTTGCAAGCACTTCCAAACCACATAAGCTCATATGGTACACTACCCATTTACCTTCATTATGTCATATCACACAGAACCAAGTTCTGAATGAATCATTGCCAAGTTGTTTAGTACATAATTCTTCTGTTGTAAATCTTTTCCCTACTGTTATTAATATTGTGTTGTGATGCTGTCAAGCTGATACTGATCACCACAAATAGATGGACTTATTAAATGTCATACCATAGGTGCTCACTCATGACAAAGTATGGTTGTTTTGCAAGGGTCGAGTCTTGCCAGTAGGTCTGTAAGTGACTGTAGAGACCTGTTCTGGATTCACATAGTCTGTTACAATGAGGACGTAAGTTTCCAAGTAGAAGGTGATCGCAACAAGCATTTGCTTGATGGGCCTTCCTCTTGGCACATCGCTCTCTTTTGCCCACTATTCATGCCTCTTCAAAACCCGCAGCATTGTTGGTAACAGCTAATATCCAGTTAAGGTTCAGGACTTCCCAGGTCTCAGTGTTTATTCCAGATTTTTTTAGATTAACTTTAAGGCCACCTTTAAATCTCTTTTATTGTCCACCGACATTATATTTTCCATTCTTGAGCTGAGACTGGTTTGAGAGTCCGGCGAGGTTGCTGGGAAAGTATCATCGCTTCAATGCTGGTGGTCTTCACTTCTTTCAGAACGCTGACATTTGTCTGCCTGTCTTTCCAAGAGATTTGCAGGATCTTTCAGAGGCAATGCTGATGGAATCTTTCCAAAAGTTGAGAATGACACTTGTAGACAGACCCACCAAAAGTTGACATTTACACTGAAATACAACACCATCTGAGCTCTGCAAGTGCAGCATTTTTTCGAATGAAGTAGAGAGTGTTCCAGGACATTCGTAGGAATCCTAATTGTAGTAGTTGATCTAGAGCAGGATTCTCATCCTGTGGGTTCCCAGATGTGTTGGCCTTCAACTCCCAGAAATCCTAACAGCTGGTAAACTTGCTGGGATTTCTGGGAGTTGTAGGCCAAAACACCTGGGAACACACGAGAACCACTGATCTAGAAGAATAGAAACAGAGCTGGGGTTTATTTAAGCTCAGCTTGCCTAGAAACATTTGCTGCCTGAGATAGAACAGCAAATGATTCCTTGCTTCTGACCCACCTTTTCAGGTCAACCTGCATTATATCCAAAGTCACTCATATTTTGTTTTTGGTTTTGGTTTTTTGCCTCATTAGGCAGAAAATCCCACATATGTCACTCCCCATGCCACACTGTAAAAATACAACACTAACCAATTAAATCACTGAAATTTACTGCTCCTTCATGACATCCTGATTTATTATTTGAGAGGGTGGCCTCTCTCTGCTAAAGTGTAGAGTTGGATCTGAATCATGTAATGTTCTTCCTTGAGGCTTCCCAGGAAAATGGACTCTATTGTCCAATTTAAACTATAATAAATGTGTTGATTTTGAAAGCTCTTCAAAAGTATCATGGCATTTTCCATTCAAAATATCAAAAGCACATTTTCCCCTCATGTAGGATTAATGCTGCCTCTAGTTTAGCCCTGTTTAGAATCTGCAATGTTGAGTACAACTACAGCACGCGTACACTATATTCCCTTGGAAAAAATAGCAAAGAAGTTAAGAAACATTTGCTTGATTGTTGTGGTTGACGTTACTTTGTTTCCTCTTGTAGATTATGAAATGTAAAGTAGCAAAGAAGCTGGTCCCCAGTACTCCAGGAGAAAACAGTTTTATCACTAAAGTTATGTGAGTATGAGCAAAAGAAAACCAGAAATGGGTGAGACAAAATCACCTTTATGAATCTCATACAACTTGTACATATTTTTCAGTGCTCTCTTTAAAATGCTACAAACAGCGAGAATAGATTTCATTGTGCTCATATATGAGATACTATTTGATTTGCAATAACTCAGAGGATAATTGTTTGTATTATTTCCTATAGAAACATAAAGAGCACATTCTATTTTACATTATCACATGTTAAGCTGATTTAATTTGAACAATACCACGATACCATGGTGGAACAATTAACTGATATTTCAGTGTTGGTAATTAAATTCTTATCCATTTTGGTTTCAATTGAATTGAGCATGCTGCTTCTCTGCTATCCCTCGATTGTGGTTAGTTTCGTTCATTAATCAACAGCTACTGCGCTGCATTGGTGAATAGATTATTTCATTTGCTTTTCCCTGTCATTTATTTATTTATTTGCTATATTTATATCCCGCCCTTCTCACCCCGAAGGGGACTCAGAGCAGCGCACATAAAGGCACAATTCCATGCCCTACAATACATATACAACAAATAAAAACATATACATATGCGCTAAAAACAACCACTAAAACAATTCAACATTAAAATTATTAAATTCACATAATCCAATATCATAATCTAAGGCTGTTCCAGTTTAAATTGCACCATTTCACATTCACTTTTTGCACTGATTTGAGTATCAAAAAGCTTGGTCCCACATCCACGTTTTCAGTTTTTTCCTGAAGGTCAGGAGGGAGGGGGTTGATCTGATAGGGAAGGAGTTTCACAACTGAGGGGCCACCACTGAAAAGGCCCTGTCTCTCATTCCGACCAACCGCACCTGTGAAAAAGGTGGGACCAAGAGCAGGGCCTCCCAAGAAAATCTTAAACTCCTAGGTGGTTCATAAAGGGAGTTACATTCAGATAGGTAAGCTGCACCAGAACCATTTAGGGCAGTGGTTCTCAACCTGTGGGTCCCCAGATGTTTGGGCCTTCAACTCCCAGAAATCCTAACAGCAGGAATTCTGGGAGTTGTAGGCCAAAACACCTGGGGACCCACAGGTTGGGAACCACTGATTTAGGGCTTTATAACCTAAAGCCAGCACTTTGAATTGTGCTCTGTAGCAGACTGGTTTTGTCATGAAAAGACAAAACCTATATGGTGTTCTTAATATCTCTGTGTTGCTTCAGTGTGATTAGAAATCAATCAAGAAGGACATATCTAACTTACACACCTCAATTTTTATACAGTGCAACCCCTTTATCCACACATTTGATCTCTATGGGTCAATGTACCCATACTCCAAAAATATCCCTCTTTTCAGAAGTGTTTGTGGGTCTCTTTAGGTTCTCCAGTGTGATTTTATGGTATGCTTCCAGTCTAAATATAGTTCAAAATATAGGGTTATATAGGGTGTGTGTGTGTGTGTGTGTGTGTGTGTATATATATATATATATATGGGTTATATAGGGTTATATAGGTTTCTATGGTTTCAAGTATTGAAGAGCCCACCTTAGAAACCTTCAAGAAGGATCTCAAAACCTGACTTTTCCATTGCACCTTCGGAGAGTAACCACACAACCATACACTATTGCTCCCCTCAATGTTTTTGTTTCTGGAGTACACTTCCCCCGCTTGTATGAAGGCCTGTTTTTTGCAACCCCGTTTCTTTACGAGCTCTTCCTCGCAAACAATCTGCTCCTCTTTTATCTCACCCTGAGTTTTAGCATTTTATCTTGCACATGCTGATTGTCATTGTGATTGTGGATATTATATTTTTATATTGCTTATTGTGTTCATATGTTTTATGTATTTCACTGTGTTGTCATTTGTGTCTTTGGTTTTTATTTTATTGAAATTTGTTGTTTGGGCTTGGCCTCATGTAAGGTGTCCTGAGTCCCCGTTGGGGAAAATGGTGGCGGGGTATAAATAAAGATTATTATTATTATTATTATTATTATTATTATTATTATTATTATATGTCTTGGAATGTATTCCCCATGGTTATGACTTCAAGGATATTTCAGATTGGATCCAGGATAGGGCTCATGCAATTCTAATCCTTAATGGATCTTGGAGAAGAGCAGAGTACTCCATCAAGTGAAACAATGTTACCCATCCTCCTTCACTGTCCAAATTTCAACTATTGGCTCCCGCCATCTTCTCCCAACACAGCTATTACCTCTATAGAAGAGAGTTGTATACAGAGCAGTGCTCTGCTCTGTTCTTGTGCATCCTGGCAGGCAATATCCTTGTTGGGAAAGAAGAGCAGCAGTTGAAAATGGAGGTTTAGAGTGTTGGAAAAGGTAGTGAATGGTGGATTAATTTAGTATGTTGTGTTTACTGTCAGAAAGGGAGTAGCTTCCTGACTCTGGATAGTAGGCTCTTTGACTTGAGTGGTTCAGGGGTACCATTTATTGCTTTGCCTTGGGTAGCAATGTATCTAGAGGGTGGAGTTAGAGTTGTGACACCAAGTGGCAAGTTAGGTGACATCTGTAGCAATGTTCCAGTATGTAAATTTAGGTCTATGTGGCAGAATATGACCCCCATCTACACTGCCATATAATGCAGTTTCAGAATGCAGTTTAACTGCAGTAAACTGGATTATATGAATTTACACTGCCATGTAATGCAGTTCAATTCAGTTAAACTGCATTCTGAAACTGGATTGCATGGCAGTGTAGATGGGACCAAGATCTTCCCAAATAAACCTTCCCCACACCCTGAGATCCTCGGGAGAAGCCATTCTCCCAGTCTCACCAGCTTCACAAACTGGTAGGGATGTGAGACTTTTTTCAGTGGCTACTTCTAGCGTCTGTGACTTCCTTCTTAGGAATGAATCCCTTCTTGATGTCGTTCCATCATCAGGCAAAGACTTTATTCTTGTGGAATTCAATGCATCTTCTGCATTCTTAGAAAGAATCTGGATTCTTTTGTAGTATTAGTTCTTTTAAAAATGAAATGGCTTTGTGGTGTAAAGGTTTTAAATTAAAATGACACCTAGCACTTCTAATCTTAACATTCAGTCAAGAGAGCAGATTCTCATACCTTTGTTATTTGCTTTAAAGCAATTATTAAAATAAGGCAGTGTACTTCATAGTCAATAGTCTTCAGTTTAAATTGCCGGCTACATTCTTTATTTGTGGAATGCCACATAATGGGGTCAGATGAGAAGGTCATCAATATGCGTTTTCATTTCAAAAGTTATTATTAAAGCACCTTTTGTTCTTTTTGAAGGAAATAATTAATATCACGCATGTCACATGAAGTGAGTTCAAAGGTCGAAGTGCACATAATTTAATTACAAACAAGGCATGGCATTAAAAGTTAATTCAATTAGAGCTTCCTCCAGTGTTAATATTCTGTATATTCTCATGGTGTCTTGCCAGGTTATATTTTTTGAATCTTTCTAATGATACAGATTTTCCATTATTTTGTTCATGCAACATTTCAAAATTTACATTATAATTGGAAATTAAGTTTTTTTTAACAGATAGATACAATTCATATACCATCAAAGTATGACTGCTTTATTTTCATAATTCTGTTTTAAAATTTTGCTTTTCAATACCTTAGAAGTGTTAAGTGACTACTTCTTAACTTCATGACAATGGACTGGATCCTGATTAGGTTCATTGTATATGGTTCTGTTGTATTCCAGAGCAAGAAGCCATCACATGCCAGGCCAGTGTAAATCAGCAAAGCAGTTTATTGAAGAATATATAAAAAGCAGTTCAGTAAAAACAGTAAAAACATCTATGTCTAAATGTAAGGAATATTCCATAAAATCCAAGGCACAAGAGTTCTGTTTAAAAACCAGGAATGCAATAGAGTCAGGCTACACAAGGCAGCATAAAACCCAATACACAGAATTCAGGAATGATCCTTTAAGCTTGAAAGCATGGAGAGTGAACCACTGGAGACATGAAACTAGAATTCCATTAGCTGTCTTGACTAGGACTTGAGAAGAGATGTTGAAAAATCCCTTTAGACTGTCCAATAAAACCATGAAATCCTGCTGTTTGCCCTGGCAAACTGATAATGGCTCAGAGTTTGCAAAAATTAAGTCTCCTACCTAATAGCTTATTAACCTCTCCACTTGGCAGTTCATCCTCTGAACTCGCTTCCTTAGAGAAAGACTTCTCTGGGTCCCTCTCTGGAATGTGACCTTTGCCTTCACTAACTGCAGGAGGCACAGAACGTTCAATTTCAGGACTTAAAATCTCGTGCTGGCTTGCAGGCTCACCAGGCCCCGAAATCCCATGATCCCCTTCCTCATTGGCATTAGGCACAATCATTGGCTGAATTACAACAGGTTCCCAGTGAAATCTGTGAGTCTGTCATTACTAACTCATCCATACTTAATTGGATCCAACCTAATTATTGTAAGTACTTCCACATTTTTTTTCTTATGAAGTTCCTAATTATAACAGTTGAAGAGTTAAGTATCTAAACTGAGAGATTATGAGCAGGATTCAAAAGCATTTTAGGCATATGCAGGCTGAAATTTTAGGTAGGCACTTACTTAAGTGTAAGGTGCTTTTAGGTTAAAGGGCCATACTACTTAGCTCAGTGGTTCTCAACCTGTGGGTCCCCAGATGTTTTGGCCTTCAACTCCCAGAAATCCTAACAGCTGGTAAACAGGCTGGGATTTCTGGGAGTTGTAGGCCATAACACCTGGGGTCCCACAGGTTGAGAACCACTGACTTAGCTGGTATGGATGTAAGCAGGTTTTTGTCCAGCAAAAGTGATTACTTCCTCTCCTATATAATATATCTGATCCTTATTCTATATCAAGCTGCTTTTGAAACTTCTGTTTCAAATAGAGTTTGCCCTATAACATGGGGAAGTGTTTGTTTAACAAACAAAAGTGAAAAGAAATCTTTCTAATATGGCGCCTTCCATATATTTTGGATGACAGTTTCTACCTTTCCTAATGAATCGCCTTGCTGACTGGAGCTAATGGGAATTGAACTCTGAAACACCTGAAAGACATTATGGAAGGATGCCTTACAACTTCCTTTGTCTCACAACCAACAACTTCACAGTATTTTGAATTTTGGTCTATAAAGTTGAAGTTTTGCAAACAATGCAAGTTAGGAGAATTTGCTTGAGAATTCCATAGCATCACCACTGCCAGCTGATCAGCAAGGCAGATATCTTTTTTTACAGCTGTAAAACCTTTTTTCATTGTGTTGTTGAAGACTTTCATGGTTGGAATAACTGAGCTGCTGTGAGTTTTCCGGGCTGTATGGCCATGTTCCAAAAGCATTCTCTCCTGACATTTCACCCACATCTATGGCAAGCATCCTCAGAGTTTGACGAGGCTTCATATTCTTTTCTTCATATTCAGGCAGAAAAAAGTACATCTACAAACTCTGAGAGCTCTGTCAGAAGTGCAGAAAATGACACCACGTGAACGAATGAGACTGCGGAAGTTAAATATCGCTGATGAGACAGCACAAAAGCTAAAGTAAGAAGCAATGTATTATTTTCATCCTCTACTGTCTTTTGTGCACATAAGAAAGTATTGATGTTTTAAATGGGAGTAGGTTGGCATCCTCATTTGTCATATCATCCCCATTTACATGGCCAGAAACACACAGGATGAAAGATCTAAGCATTGCTTAGAAGGTAGGAAGAGATATGCAGGTCTTTCTATTTTGGAAAGGAAGAACAGAAACAGATGTGACTAACTTCCTGTACTTTATTAACTCTTGCAGTAATTGCTACTAATGAAAGTAGTCAACTAATCAACCCAAGAATGCATTTTAATTTAGTAGTGTCTAGTTAAGAGGAAAGACAAGCAATTAGTTGAAATTGTATACAGGAAACCCCTGAATTACAAACATCCGACTTACAAATGACTCATACTTAAGAATGAAGATGAGACAACAGGACGTGAGATAAATCTGCCCCCGGAAGAGAATTTCATTCCTGAAAAGGTTTTCATGGAGAAAAGGTGTCTCCACTGAAGCTTTATCACCAATTATTGTTTCCACAACAAGCCATTTTTTTCAAAATCTATCTTACAAGGACGGAAAATGATGTGAAATCTTCTGAACAGGGTTGCACACAGCAAAACAAACACCACAGGGGTGTTAAGCATTCCATAGATAGATAGATAGATAGATAGATAGATAGATAGATAGATAGATAGATAGATAGATAGATAGATGTCTGGAGTTACACTTAAAAATGTACCTGTTCTGACTTACATGCAAATTCAACTCAAGAACAAAGCTACAGAACCAATTTTGTTTGGAACTTGGGGATTGCCTGTGCTACACTAAAATTTTGGGACATTCTTGTCATACCAAAGGTAATTCCATTATTTGAATGACAAATGCTATACGTTGATTGAAATTTAGTTGACATTTCTAATGTTGAATAATAGTGCTATATTTATTTTCAGAAAGTTGGCTGAAGAAAAATACCAAGAAAATCATAAAAGAATGCAAGAGCTTAGATCCCAGCATTTTCATCAAGCAAAAATAGATGTGCTTCATGTAAGGACAGATATTATCCTATGTTTTACTTTACAAAAGATATGCACAGTCAGTTTTGAGACAAAGGCTGGTTCCAGACAGGCCTTTAACCCTCATCCAATCAGGTTTAAGTTACTCACTTGGGCATGGGTTAAAGTCCATCCACCTTCCCCCAAAACCTGTGCTTTCCTGGGTGTGTGTGTGTGTCTAGATGCTCTGTCAGACCTCCCAGTAGGGCACCCAGACACCAAAGAATCCCCCCCCCCCCACACACACAAGAAAAACTTTAACCTTAAAAATAACTTACCCAACCACCATAGAAATGATATGCCAGGAGAAGGGGAAGTAAGGAGCTATTTTCCTTCTCACTCCCTGCCCCTGTTCTCCTGGCACATTATTTCTACACACTAGGAGAGCTCAGCCACCAGTGTAATGGTGGCCGGGTAAGTTATTTTTAATTTTAAGGGATTTTAAGACACTTTTTAGAAACTTCAATTTCTACCTACCCCAAAATTAAAAAACCCAGAAAATTGTGGAAAATTGAACTATTTTTCCCAATGGCTGAAAAAAAATCTGAACATTTCTATATAGAATTCACTTCTAAATCGAATTTAGAATTTGGAATCATGGCTGAAAATGAATTGATTTATCTTGTGACAGTCATTCAAAGATTGTAATTTGTATATAAACTATCATTCATTCCACATTGTTTTCTGTTAGCTTGGTAATATTCAACCATAGACACCACATGGGGTTGATATTACTTGCTTTTGTTAACAAGACTACCCGAATTGTCTAAGTAATTTTTACATCGTGTGTTAATTTTTATTTATGTATGAAATTTGTATCATGACTATCTCCTAATAAAATGTTAATTTGCACTCAACTGTTCTTACCACAAAAAGAAAGAAAATTCCAATAATTGTTACATTGTAATCATATTGTAAACTAACTGTGCTTTTATTGCACCAAATAAGGAATCGGACGAACAGAATGGAGAGTATCTGGTTAAATCTCAGCAAGACACTACACTGGATTATCTGTCCATAGGATGCAGTGACCAATGTGACAGTAGTACAAAAGATAGCCTCTATATGTCTGAACAAGAAGATAATGGTGAGTGATATCATATTCTATGTTATTTTCCTAACTATTAAATCCTGAGGAGGCACAAGAAAAATCTAGCTGAAAAAGGTGTCGTCTATATTTTTGAAAAAAGGAAAACTGGAATCTAAGGTTCCACTTGTATAATTGTCCATATTACCTTTGTATCAGTGTATCTATTTACCAACTGTATTATTATGCTGTGTGAAAGAATGAGTCTATCAATAACCAATAAGTCACAAAGGGGTGTGTGCGGAAGTTATTAATACTTTGCATGTTTTAAATTGTATATATATATATGTGTGTGTTAGCTACAGTAACACTGGAGTGGCCTATTTCAAAGAAAACCTCAGTCAGCGTTGCCATGGTGACCTAGTCAAGCTGGCAGCAGTTAGAGAAGTGGGAGGAGCCAAGGGGAGAGAGTGGAGCAACGGACAGTTTGTGTCAGTTGGGAGTTGGTTAGTGTTCTGGGAAGCAGTGAGTTTGTATGGGGAGCAGTGTGAGAGTGAAAGGAAGGGTGAAGTAAAATAGTGAGGCTTTGGGAAGCCTGAATAAGCAATCTGGAGGTTTCTCAGTCTAACAAGGCTGTAAGGAGAAACATAGCCAGTTTCTTTAGTTAGGTTAAGTCTAAAGAATAAGCTTGTTGAGTTATTTCATCAAGGACAGCTCAAATAGGAGAGATATACCTGTATTAAAACATTGTTTAATAAAAAGAACTTCACCTCAGGAAAAGTAAACAATACAGTGTAACCTGGAAGAGTAAACGATACAGTGTAACCTGGAAGAGTGGAAAGTATTTCAAACCAAATATCCTTCAAAGTTCAATAAGAAAGTTTACAACTTGCAACCATATGCTGTTTACCAAATAAACCTGTTATCTTTAGTTGAAACAGTCTCATCTCCATCAATACTGCGTCTGATGTTCCATATCTCATAGTAAACCTCATACCTCACGTTGGTGGCAGAATTGAAAGAAATATACAATAAATCACCTTCAGCTCCCCTGCTTCCTTGCAGGGGGATTCAAGAAGAAGCATTGGAAAGAGATCTTGGAGTCTTAGCAGACCACAAATTGAACATGAGCCAAGAATGCGATACAGCAACCAAAAAAGCCAGCAACCAAAAAAGCCAGTATACTACTTTTAATGGTGTCGCATTAAAAGTAGTATACTGTCTAGATCAAGGGATGTAATACTGGCCCTCTATTCTACTTTAGTCATACCTTACCTGGAATACTGTGTCTAATTCTGAGCATCATAATTCAAGAGGCATATTGACAATAATAATAATAATAATAATAATAATAATAATAATAAGCTGGAATGTGTCCAGAGGAGGGAGACTAAAGTGATCAACAGTCTGGAAACCATGTGAGGAGTGGCTTGAAGTACTGAGTCTGTTTAAGCTGCAGACGAGAAGGCTGAGGGGGGATATGATAGCTATGTTTAAATATTTTAAAGTATGCTATAAAGAAGAGGGAGCAGGCTTGTTTTCTGTTGCCCTGGAAACTAGAACTTGAAGCAACGAGGATTCCAACTGAACATTAGGAAGAACTTGCTGACCATAACAGCCGTTCAGCAGTGGAACTCTCTGCCTCAGAGTGTGGTGGAAGCTCCTTCTTTGGAGGCCTTTAAATAGAGGCCAGATAGCCATCTGTTGGGGGTACTTTGATTGTGCTTTTCCTCATTTGCTGATTTATAGGGCTGGATGTTAAATTCTACCCTGTGTGCGTTTCCTTGTTGAAGTTTATTTTGTATGTGGCACAGTCATTTCAGATTAGTTTCCTTACATAGAAAGTCTTTGACTAATTTCATATGGCTTTCACACAACTTGCTGCACAGACACATTTCCCATATAGGAAAAGTGTAAAATTTGAAATAACTGCCAGTATTAAGCCCCTGGGGCTTTGAACAAAATGTTGCATTTTACTATTTGAATAGGATTTAAAGGATTAGGATGGCTGATTTAAAATTCAGATTGTTCTGTTTATTCCTTTCTCTTCATTTGAATTGAGAATGTTTTACTGCTTGGTTTAGTTTGTTTTGAGATGATTAGCTGTGATTTTAATATTGGGTATTTTAGCGTTATATGCTTTTATTTGATATTTTAACAGACACTAGCTTCTGTTTCCAGAATATGACTGAACAACAAACAGTACAAATCCCTTTTCTTTGAACTTGTGTTTCTTGATCCTTTTGATTGTATTAACCTTCAGCTCTTGTGAAAATTGGGTGTTTTTGTCTTAAGAAACTAAGCAGCTGATCATCAGAAAACACTGCCATATCAAAGTAAAAAAAAAACTATTGGATTTCGGATTGCATTTTAATAACGATATTCTGCTGCTTTTTAAAAACGTATTTATTTATTTATTTCCTATATTTATACCCTGCCTTTCTCCCCCCGAATGTATTGCATCAGGAAGGCTATCTTGGAAGAGCAGATAGTTAAATTCAGTTTCCATGAGTTGTGGATTCATTCAGGATCTGTGTAGAAAAAATACAGCAAATTAACTGGGTTGCTACTAGGCATGTGCGATCCATTAAAAAATGGTTCAAAAGTACTTACAAAACTAGGGGGCACTGGTGCTATATTTCTGAAATATTTCTACTGTTTCAGAGGTGAAAATTCAGAACTCTAACGAAACTAACAAAATTTCGTAATTACTTGGTTAATGGCGGTCATGTATGCCCATTAAGGAAAACATCACGGTCAGTGAGGAAACTTCAGGGGCTCCGATCTCCCTCATTTTTAAAGCTATTGAGATTGCAACAATGATAGAACACATTTGAGTTCTGATTTGCAGTCCAATAATGTGTTGCTCACTTTTAAAACCTGCCCTTTGTATTCCAAGCTAACAAACATCCAAAGTAATAAGCATTACAACTGGTCCTGGCCATTTTGTTTTGACCAAGCCTCATGCCCTTAGCCTGATAACTGCTGAGATGTGGCCGACAACCCCTTCCTAAATTGCATATGTGGTTTGACTGGGTAACCTGCAATCCTTACTACACATTCATATGAAAAAGACAACCCAATGTATGTCCTTCACTCAAAAAAATTGAGTTTGTCATTTGGGAGTTGTAGTTACTGGGATTTATAGTTCACCTACAATCCAAGAGCATTCTGAACTCCACCAATGATGGAACTGAACCAAACATGGCACACAGGACTCCCATGACCAACAGAAAACACTAGAAAGGTTTGGTGGGCATTGACCTTGAGTTTGGGACTTGTAGTTCACGTTCATCCAGAAAGCACTGTGACTCAAACAGTGATAGATCTGGATCAAACTTGGCATGAATATTCCATATGCCCAAATATGAACACGGATGGAGTGTAGGGGAAATAGACCTTGACATTTGGGAGTTGTAGTTACTGGGATTTATAGTTCACCTACAATCAAAGAGCATTCTGAGCCCCGCTAATGGCAGAATTGGGGCAAACTTCCCACATCGAACCCCCATGACCAACAGAAAATACTTAAGTCCATCCAGTCCAACTCCCTTCACCAGGGCAAGAAAACGTAATCAAAGTCCTCCTGACAAAGATCCATCCAGCCATAGATATAGATAGATAGATATGATTCACACACAGAGAGATATAGTATCACAGATTTGAAACGGGCCCCTAAAGAAGGACAGTTATGTGTTGCATGTTCCAGAGTGGGCAAACCAGACAATCTCCACATCAACACTGACAAAGAAACAGCAAGAAATACTGTTTACCCACAAGCATAAAGAAGTTACATATATTCGAAACCAACACTTTCTCATTACTTTATTTTCCAGGTCACCAGACTTGGCCACAGCAACACGTGGCAGGGGATGGCTAGTTACTTACATTTTGTAAAATTATTTTTAAAATCATTTTAAAGAGCATTTTTTTCTGTTCTGGAGGTTATTTCCCCCCAATAATAGGTCAAATTCTGTTCATTTCGCCAGAGTTTTTACAATGGTTGTTGATTTTAACTTTCTCTCTTATTTTGCTTTTTATTTGTTATAACAGCACCATTTATAATATATCATGTTAAGATTTTTTCTTACATTTTGAATCTAGCTATTTATCATAAGATGAAGGTCAGTATAAAAATATATAGGGAAAGTGACTTTTATTGATCTGTTTTCTTTTGGGGAGGGAGAGACAGAGAGGTAAAGGATTAATGGTTAAACAGAGAAAAAGATACCTTTTACTTAAACCAAAGGAGATCACAGATGTTAAATGTCAGAAATGATAGGCTAACATTCTGAACATTAACATTTTTAAAAGCTGGCAATAAGAGAGGAAAGGTTTCTGCTTACATATAGATGGATGGAATAAAAACGAAATAACCCATGATTGGTTGAATTGAGAATTATCTAAGTCTTTAATTGGGTTTTTATCTGAAACTAGTGTAAAGGGATAGAATTCTGTCCACTATTAAACAAATCACATTGCAAGGACATGTTTTCCATTGAAAGAATCCATTATGGATGAATACCATGTGCCCTTGGAAGCCCATCACCATTACAGTTGTTGATGCAGTAAATGTTAATGGCGTAAATTGTCTATCATTCTATTTGTTTATTTCTCTAATTGTATCAAAACACTTCACTTTCATAACTGTGTTGGCAGCTTCATTCTCACATAGGAAGCAGTGGCCAGTTGCTTCAATAGGACGTCACTGAATTCTTTCTACACTACCTACCACTCCTGCCCCTCAACATTTAAACTGATGGCAATAAGACAACTTTGGTTGCTCATAGTGATATCACTAGTTACTCAAGCTGTTTGGCCATTTAATGCTGTAATGTAATCAGATTTATTTATTTTAATTTCTAAATTATTTTATCAATTCATATACTACCTGCCAGATCTAAAAATTTTATCTAAGTAGCACCTGTATATACTTTGGATCATGGGGGAGGAGGGTCATATAACCAGTAGAAATATTTTTAAAGCACCAAAAGTAGACTGAGTAATAAAGATAATGTTCTCTGTAAATCACTCCAGGAGAGGATTTTGGCTGAAGAAGA